GCATTGTGAGAGAGGTCCAATATGATTAGAACAGAGAGGAGAAAAATCTCTGTCTCAGGGAGAAAACAAAAAGCATTTTCAAAGAATGAGAGACTTATTGCGCTAAGGAGAGTAGGACACCACCGGGCTTGAAGAGGACTAGTGACATTCCGGGCGGAAGGAAAACCACTGGCAAAAGCACCGGGGATGAAAGTCTGCTGTATCCGGGGAATCACAGCAATTGCAAAATGTCTCCCAAACTTATTATCCAATGAGCTTTTACCATTTTAAGGACAGAAAAAGAAAAAGAACTTGTACTTCTGGGTAACTGGCAACAAGAAGGTATGCAGTCAACTCATTGATTTGTTGGCTTACATTGTCACAGTTTTAGAAACCCTTTGTGGGAAAAGTAGATATTCTCAGCTTTGTTTGAAGGTTGGGAGAAGAATGGTATAGAGCCATAGCATTACTGACCTTGAAGTTGCTTTCTCTTCGGTCCTACTCCATATCCTCACCCCCATGTACACCCAACGCTTTTACTCACTTTCAGCATTTGAAGTAGAGAAAGGTACTAAATATTCTCCACTAGAAGGTGGAGAACTTCATAGAACAAGGAACTGTTTCATGTCCATGGCTCCCTGAGGACCTTCACTGGATGCCAAACCCTGCTCAAGAGAATGGGAACCTCTGTAATAATGGTGACCCTATAATATTTGTGTGTTTGCTATAAAATCAAGCCCAACTCATTCATACCAGCTACCCAGGGGATGGCAGCTAGATGGAAACTAAGCCAGCATTTACTTTTTCCCTCTGCAAATGCATGTTCTTGCTTCTTTGTGCTTAATCCCAGATCCCCATTGGCAAGCTCTCCAGTGTAATCTCCCAGAACAGCTGGGCCCTGATTGCAGTGTCAATTATTAAATGCCCATGTTCCCTGAAAAGCAGCATTTAATCATGAGGCACTCAAAAACTATGAGATAGAAGAGTAGGGGATTAAAGGAGAGGGAGGAGGGTAGGAAGGCAACTTCCATTCCTGCAACATTAAACCAAAGGGACTTGGAGCACAGATGGCATCCGGTGGTTCTTCTGAATGCACTGCAAGACGCTGACCATGGCCAAGGTAACAATCCTCTCCACTTTGTGGCTCAGGAGATACCTTCCACACCTATTTTCTTCTGGTTCTTTGTCAATTTATTGTCCTTACTAGCTTATGCTAATTCAGAGTTACTGTGAATACAAGTTGATGAAAATATTGCTGACATATTGGTTGGCACCTATGTACTTCCTAATGACCTAAGCTCCTGATGGCAGAGAAGTCACTCTGTCCCTCTTCCAGAGAGTGAAGAGTCACCTTGACATGGGGTCTGTCAGCAAACACAAAGATATGCCTTTTCTCCTGGCTCTTATTTCTTTGGGATCATTCTAAGGAAATCACTGTGGAATTAGGTTTGTTCTTCCAGTTGAGGAAATATCTAGATCCCGGAGAGAAAAAGCATGTTTGGGGAAACGAATAAAATAGGTGACAAAGGGCATGGTACTGTAGGTGTTGGAGATAATTCTTGAAAAGGCTCTAGAGTGCGTTATTTAATTATCAGGAAGATTCATTCTTGATCATTCTGGAATGGCGCTCCTTATGTCTGTTCATGGTGGACGCTTCTCTAGAAGGTACCACTTTGAGCTTCAATCCAGGCTCTTTATCAAACTTTATTTCTCAGATTGCTTCTTCCTTAAATTGGTTGTCACCTCAGTGTAGGGTTCCTCATTCTTTCTCACTTATCAATAACTTGAACAATAATTTACAATTATGTGTAACTTGAAATGTATTGAGTGTATAATTAAACTTGGATGTGATAACAAAGTTTCCAAACCAAGTAAGATTGAAAATAGTTCTTGGAAATACTTCTTCGTTCACTATATAAAATAACTAGTGAAGACATTTTCCCTGAAAGTCTGTTTCCTATTCAAGTAATGGATATAAGAATAATTAGAAAGGAAAAAAAAAGAATGATTAAAAAGGATAATCTATAGTAATAAGAGTAATGCCTAAAACCAATAGAGTTTTATAATTAAAATTAGATTAATCCATTCTCTTTGGGAGACTGGAAAACTCCAGATTCCAGGAGCTGGCAGTATAAGATCTTTTCTCCTTTCAGATGTTCAGAGCTTTTGTCCTTAGCCAGGGTCACCCAGAGTCTTGCAAGGCCTGACAGTTCTTGGCAGGGTTAATCCTTGGCTTTTAAGGGGGGAAAAATCATATCTGACTGCTTTCCAGAAGCAGTTTTTATCACATTTTGTATAATGTTTTTTATATAAATATAAACCTTAAGTATTCCTTATTGTCAAAACAAAATGCAGTTTGTGGTATGCACTGTTTGATCTCTGGAAATTCTGAAGAACAAACTTATATTTCTAAGACAAAGTTTTCTGTTAAATGTCAAAACTGTTAAGCTGGGGGTGATGAAAGAGGCAGATTTATGGGCCTGTCCATTCGTTATGGCTTTATTTACATCTCCTAAGCTAAGCAGATTTAGGTCTGATTAATTCTGATATGAGAGATCCCCTGGAAAGCTCAAGATGGTTTACTTTAAGAAGCATCTGTCAGCAATTAAGCCTGGGCCTCTTTTCTATTCAGTGTATTAATGAAACAGTATAAACTGCTCTGTAACACAAAGTGTGAGACCTGCCAAATTTCTTTATTTTCCTAAGTCAAATCAATCTGACTCCAAGCCACCACCCAACAAAGTTGGTCAATCTAATATGGTCATTTTTTTAGGTTACGCTTCTCTTCTCTTAGGCTGAAATTGACAATGAGAGTGAGGCTCCAGTCAGAGCCACACGGGCCACACTTCTGTCTGCTGCTACATACTGTGTCCCCCTACGAGTTGGGCACACGGCTGCATCAAGCTCCAGAGAGGCCCATCCAGGGTCTTCTCTACCACCCACTCGTGTGGTCCAGGGCACCCGCCGCATGGTGTTACAACCATGACACTTGCTGTCCAGTCTCATGGGCACCATGCAGCCACCTCCCATTTGAGATTCAGTCATCCAGTGGCAGTAGATAGAAGCTGGGTCCAGATCGTAACTTCTCTCAGGACCAACTAACTCCCTGTTCTCTACAGAGGTTCCAGCAGCCCCAAAGTTTCCACTCGACCCACCCCACCCCACTGGGTAATCCAGATTAACACTGATGATAGGACATATTACGCTTAAGTTCTTTCAGAAGAAATCTGTCATGCAGGGGAGAGGACACCAACAGCTCCGTTTGGTGCAATAGCAAACAGCTTGACCAGTTGGTGCTATACTACCTTCCATTGAAGACAAAACCGCAAAGAATGACTGCAAGAGTATTTTGAGTGCTTCCAATTCTCTTTCTAAACTTTTCTTCTCTAAATATATATCATTCTAATTTTTCTAAGTTTATACATAAAAAGCATAAATAGAAAATGTTATATATACTTTTTATACACACTTAGAAAATGATATATATACATGTATACATATTCATATATATATGTATAGATTAATCCGTGGCTTAAGCATATTCTGACCAAGAATATTATTATTTGACGCTTATTCAAATCATCCTCAATTCAATAAGCAGTTTAATAGTGAGTGTCTAATGTGAAAAATTCTGTGCTAGTCGTGGTATTCGGAAAGACAGATGTGCAGCCCAGCACAGTGATGCAGAGACGGGTTGCTGCTGCATAATGGCTGAGGCTGCACGGAGGTCCAGGTCTGGCTCCCAACCCAACCTAACAGGTGGGGCCTGGTGGCGTGTGCCTGTGTCCCAGCTCGTTGGGAAGCTGGGGAGGGAGGATCACAACTTGGTAACACTCTGCCAAAAATGCCTATTTTTCTATCTCCCTTCCACATGTTGACTCACTTTCTGTCAAAAACAAAACAAAACAAAACACAGGTTTAGTATCTAATGGCAGTTTGAATGAAGCCATAAACCTTAGAGGGGATTGCAAATAAATGTGAAAAAACAATTGGCCTGGGACCAGCAGTTAGCGTAATGGCTATGTCGCTGGACTCCCATGTAGTCAACCGCGGTTCGAGTCCCAGACCCGGTGGCTTAAACTCACACGGGGCGCGTGTGCATGCGTGCCCAAGATCCCAAGAGGAGAATGGAGGAGAAGGGATTGTGGCATGGCCATCCCCCCTGGGGGTGATTTCTCACTTTCTATCTCTCTGTCTCTCTCTGTCTGGTGAGCGCACGCACCTTATAACAAAAACCTCTCCAAAAAAAAGAAAAAGAAAAAAAAATCAATTGGCCTTAAAACCCTTGCAACCCTCATTTCTCCTGCAAGGTGTTAGGTAGGGGACCTTCCTCAAGTAGCTGGGACTTGGGCTAAGCCTCAGGAGAGGCAGGATTTCAGTGGACAGGGACCAGCCAGCACAGAGAAGTAGAGATTAAGATAATGCCAGACAGAACAAAGTATAATGACTCCACTGTAGCACGTGTTCTGAGCAGTAGATGGGGTAGCCTGCAGACTCCAGCCTGTGCCCTCAACCAATAGGCTGAGCTGGAGAGCTGCCCGTGAGACCCTGCTATGTCTCCCACCACAGGACACATGCATGTCTTTCCAAGGTTCGCCAGCTGGGGGCCATGTGGGTGCAATTCTCATGGTCTGAGGCAGAGATGGAAGATTTCAATACATTCACGACCAATTTGTTCTGACTTGGGCCTCCTTCATCATTTGCCCTATCAGATGGATCATCTTATCTCCACTTCTGTGTGTTGTGTTTTATGCCCAGAGTCCAGCCTGTCATTATTCAATCTTCGCAAATCATGGCTTCTTTCCTGCTGGAGTCTCGCAACGTCCGACTAGATAAGCACCAGCTAGGGTGCCTGCTCCTGGCGCCTCCTGGGGAAAACTCGCAGAGGCCGCTTCTGCCTATCGGTGTTGGAGGAGCGTGGCCTGAGCCAAGGGAGCCACAGGGCAGTGTGCCTACATCTCCTGGAGGCTCCGACATGGGCTCTCCAGCTCCCCTCCCCTCCTGTGTCTTGTCTGTTACAGATGGAGCTCCCGAAGGCCCTCTCTGGCCAGCGGACACTCATATCTGCCGTCCTCAGCATGCTATCACTCAGCCTCTCCACAACATCCCTGCTCAGCAACTACTGGTTTGTGGGCACACAGAAGGTGCCCAAGCCCGTGTGCGGGAAAGGTCTGGCAACCAAGTGCTTTGACATGCCGATGTCCTTGGATGGCGGCATCGCCAACGCATCAACCGAGGAGGTGGTGCAATACAGCTGGGAGACTGGGGATGACCGCTTCTCCTTCCTTACCTTCCGGAGTGGCATGTGGCTATCCTGTGAGGAAACTATGGAAGAACCAGGTAGCAGCCTCGGCCCATCTGCCTGGGGCTTAGGAGCTTGCCTTCTGTGGCATGTGTGGCTGGGGTGGTGGTGGTTATATTTTTTCAAAGGTAAGGGTGGGACAGGCAAGAAAACCAATTAGGATAGCTTAGGGCCAGGGCAGCAGTGGGAAGCACAACACTCCCCCAGGGAACAGCTCAGCACCTTTCACCTCTGTGTTGTGTCTCCTCCCCACAGAGCTCCCTTTCCATAAGGTCAAAGTCCTCCTCCTGGCTTTTTCACCTCCTCCCTTTCTAGTAGACTTACTGACTTAAAACTGCATGTTTAAAGTAGCCTTAACCTTAAGGGTTTCTGTTAGACCGTTTATAATAGGAGAATTCCCATTCTAGTGAACTTAAATTGCTGCTTAGAAACAAAACAGAGAAAGGAAGATTGTAGAAAAAGCCCTGATTAAGCCTGAATGTAAGTTTAAAGAGTAACTTCGTTTCTACAGACTGATTTTCTCAGTGTAGGATGAACGGATCACAGCAGAGACCACCTTTAAAGCCTCTTCCTTTCCCTTCCCAAAAGAGTTTTCTCCTTCTAAGTATTATTGTAGTTCCCAAAAGAGTTTTCTCCTTCTAAGTATTATTGTAGAGATTTACCCGGTAAGGAATTGAAGCCCAGTGAGGATAGTTAGGCCATGTGAGGTCTCCTGGTGCTCAGTGAGACTGAGCAGAGCAGGCCCTGGTCTATGGGCTGGTCAGCCTGCACTCCACAGCTCAGGAGGTCTGAAGCTGGAGACCCCTCTTCCAGGCTTGGAGCAGTCAAGGTCACCTTATAGCCTGGGAAGAGAGCACCTGGGAGCAAGGTTTCCTTAATGCCCAGAATCGTGCGCAATTCAAGACCTACTATTCCTCCCAATATGGAGCCAGGCTAAGAGAAAAAGGAAACAGGAATTTTTTTCTAAATGCGTGTGTGTATGTATGTGTGCATGTGTGTGCACATGCGGGAGCACATTTACATTTATATTCAAGTTACTACTTTGCCACTTAGCAGTGCTGCAAACCAGTCCTGGAAACAACTTAGAGCCATTTGATGGCGTGGTTATAGCGGCCACGGAGGTATTAACACAGGGATCATCACCTCTTCCTGGCATGGGAAACAGAACACTCACCTATGTGGCATCGTCGGGGCAACAGCTTTCTTATCAGAAATAGAGGAGAAAGAAATTAATCCCGGACGTCTCTGGCCTGGCTATCCATTCACCCATGCATTCCTTCCTGCTTTCAAAGAGAGGCATGTCTACCATGGGCAGGCTCCAGTCAGAACCAATGGAGCAGCGGCACCAGGTGGGGATGGGGAAGGCTTTCACGCGACTGTCCCAGGAAACACCTCCAGGAAGGTGTACCTTGTGTGTTTCAGGGGAGAGGTGCCGAAGCTTCATTGAACTCACACCACCAGCCGAGAGAGGTGAGAAAGGACTACTGGAATTTGCCATGTTGCAAGGCCCATGTTACCCCACTCTCCGATTTGGAGGGAAGCTGTTGATGGAGAAGGCTTTCCTCCCCCACCCTCCCTTGGGGCTCGTGGCAAGTATGTGTCTGATTATGGGTTTAGTCACCGTTAAGTTGGGGCTCTCCCTGTCTGATCTAAACTGCACTATGATCTGCTCTTCTTTCCTTCTGGGTCCCACAGGGTGACAAAATTTCCCCCAGAGCTGACTCCCATTCATGGGCAGAAATACAAAAGAGGAACCACAGGGATACTAAAGTTCTCTAGTAGAAAACCACCAGCCCTTACCAGCTCTCGTTGCCAAGTAACCATGCAGTAAAGCTTAGGTTTTCCTTTTTTCCCTCCAATGACTTTTTGGTAAAATGAAAGGAAAGCAGTGAAGGAAGTTGGGAGGGATAGAAGGAGAAAGGAAACAAAATTTCCCCAACAGTATTTTCAGACATCAAGTTTCCTTGATTACATACGGGCCGTTGAGCAGAAGGGGAGCGGTGGGTGACATCAGAAGAACCTCGAAGGAAGTACAGTTTCTCACTGGGGTTAGCTCTGTCTCCTTCTCCCCTTCTCGGATGCTGCTGGGCTTTTCCCTTCCAACAGCATCACGTGCTCGCCACTGGCTCAGTTGAACTGTCAGGGTGAGATGAGGATGCCTCCTCCCTCTGGTTCCAACAGAGATCCTGTGGCTATCGCTGGGAGCCCAGATCGCCTACATCGGACTTCAAGTCATCAGTTTCCTCCTGCTACTGATGGACTTGCTGCTCACAGGGAACCCTGGCTGCGGGCTCAAGCTGAGCGCCTTTGCTGCCATTTCCTCTGTCCTGTCAGGTGAGTGACTCTGAAGTGGCAGAGGGTGGTGGGTCCTCGGCCATCTTTGAAGTACTAGTTGGAGGGCTTGGTCTTTATCCTGTGGGAAGGAAGGAGAAGCCCAAAGGCAGTATAAAGAATAGAAATCAGAAGCTGGCCCTGGCGCCTTGGGGTCAAGGGTGCTGGGTCTCACATGGTCAACCACAGTTGAATCTCAGCCTAGGCAGCTTAAAAAATATGCCAGGCATGTGTGTGTGCCCCAAATGCCACCAGGTTGGAGAAATGGAAGAGAAGGGACTGCAGCGTGACCACACTCCATTGGGGGATACTTTCTCTCTTTCTCTCTCTCTGGCAAGCACAAGTGCCCCCTGGCAAAGGAAAAAATTAAAAGAAAGAAAGAAATGGAGATCAGAGACACATCATGGGCATCTTTAATTTAGAATTGAAAGAGCATGCAAAATTGTATATTGGTTCATCATCTACTTTACAAAATAATTTCTCTCTAGATTCCTTTATTTGAAGCTGCTTTCTCCGTATATAAAATCCATTGTTCCATTTCTCAGTTGAGACATACACACAGCTTTTAACACCGTCTCGGCTGGGCAGAATGAAGAATAAAACCAGTGCTGGGGTATGATGGGTGGCAGGAAAGGGGACCAGCAGGCCTGGAAGCAGCAGCAACCCAGAGGTTTTTCCTAGCTCTCAACCTAAAGTTTGGGGTAACCTATTGCAAAGACATGCATTCAAGGGGAGGCCCCAGTGCAATCTCCCTGGAGATGTGGTGGCTTCAGGGTAAGGAAACGGCCCAACACAGGCTGCGCGTGCTGCATGCGTTTGGTCCCAAATCCCATTCCTGGTAGGCGGCAATGACAGCCTTTCTCTGCCTTCCTGTTCGTCCTGCAGGCCTCCTGGGGATGGTGGCCCATATGATGTATTCACAAGTCTTCCAGACAACTGTCAACGTGGGTCCAGAAGACTGGAGACCACATGCTTGGAACTATGGCTGGGCCTTCTAGTAAGTGCTCATCTCCCCTGAAACTCTTTGGCCCCTTCCCCAGTCAGTCTTCATTACGTTTTATACCCTTGACTAGATTTCATCTTGCCTTTTCTTCATCCGAATCCCAGAAGTCTGTCAGTCAAACATAGGGCTGTTCTTTGCCTGCCTTCTGAGGAGGGACAGAGAGGGAGGAGCTCTGGTTTGTTTGGGAGGATGTTGTCTTTCCCATTTCCTGCTCAACAGCTGTGGCAGTTGTTTCTTCATCTGACATGTATGTCGCCCTTGGGAAATGAGACTGATTTTGTATGGCTTCCACAAATAATGCTGTGTATATATATATTCTACAATTCAAGGTATTGAAAACAGAGAAATGAAGACGTAGCCATGAATTTACATTTAATTCCATTTCAGTTCTTCAACTCTGCTGAAGAGGAACTTCTTCCTCCTTTCTCCATTGTTATTCTACTGAACTCTGTCAGAAACCCAACTTCCCTACCACAGTTATCCTCTAACGCTTAAAGAAATAAGAGGTGTTAGATTTCTCTTCCAGAGAGAGAAGCAGGAACCAAGACAAAACACACCCAAGCCTAAGTATTGCCTTTGTTCAAGAGCCTTACTGTCTCCCCGAGGAGCACCCTTTATACATCGCAAGGTTACCAGCTCAGACTTCTGCTAACTGTCTGGTTTAAGATCTGAGTACTTGCAGTTCACAGAACTAAGTCCAAGTTTCCATTCTCACAGAGACAGTGTATGGAAACCTACCCAGCTGTTATATTCTACCTCTTTCCTAGTGGTATATGTGCCGTTTGGTTCAAGAATCATTAGTCTATGCCACCAGCCACTGCATCACTTTCCAGACCCACCATTTCTCACCTCTTCTCTAACTTCAAGCCATTGCCAGCATTGCAGCTGTGGAGCTCAGGTTATAAACACCCCAATAAAAGCATCCAGCCTGAATTTACTTAGCATGTCAGAGACAGAAAACAGGACCACGTGGTACCAGCATGTGGCCTGGCTTTAACCATCACTTGGCCTCATGAAATCCCTCCCTAACCTCACAAAACTTCCTGTTTCCTGAGCTTCCCAGAATCATAGTGAGATTTAGTGGTTTGACTTTCCAAGTTTTCAGGAATGTGTTTGATATCGTTCCCTGGTGTCTTTTTCTCTTTTCTGAATCCATTCAGCTTCTCATCCTTCCATTATAAACTTCCATAAGCCAAAAATCACACTGCTTTTATAATAAGCAAATTCCACTAGTGCAACCTATAATACCTCCAGATTTGTAGTAAATGTTTTCCTGAATGACTCTCAGATGGTCGACTCTGAGGACCATAAGTTTACTAAGTTCGCAATAAAGAATGCGAAAAATAGATTTTTCCCAGCACCTAAGGGGAGGAATGTGTGTGTGTGTGTACTGGGATAAGAGAAGGAGAGAATGCATTAGGCTATGTCTACTCTATACAGCTGAGCTACGGATCTCTGGCATCTTAGGGATTTTACAAAGGTAACTGCAGCTTCAGAACATGAGATTGTGTGTTATACACACACAATTATAATACACAGCAGATATAGCACTGACAAGTAATCAATTCAGTGAAAACAATCCATTAAGCTTTTTGTCTGATTTTATCCTACATGAGCCTTTATCTTTTACTACAAAGTAGCCGGAACATATCCATCAGAGACAGACCAAATTCAGTCCTCTTGCTCACAGTTCTTTACTTGAAACATGGTGGAAACAGCATTCTCAGGACCTTAAAGCACCTAAGAGTCATTAGTTAGTCTAACAGGAAGGTATCATGGCATTTTTCTCCAAGGAAGTCAGCCTCACATTGTCCCCTTGTTTTATATGTTTGTCCCTAGCATGGCCTGGGTTTCCTTCACCTGCTGTATGGCATCAGCTGTCACCACCTTCAACACCTACACCAAGATGGTGCTGGAGTTCAAATGCAAGCATAGTAAGAGCTTCAAAGACAACCTGAACTGCCAACCAAACCACCACCAATGCTTCCTTCAGCAGCTGTCCTGTACAGCCCACCCAGGGGGCCCTTTGACCAGCTATCAACACTATCACCATCAACCCATCCGCTCTGTCTCTGAAAGCGTTGACTTCTACTCAGAGCTACAAAACAAGCAGTTTCAGCAAGAGACCACCCAGGAGCTCAAAGAAGTAGTTGGGTCACCTGTAGAAGAAGGGCAGTGTTAGGAGTTAAGTGGGTTTGGAGAGCAGGCTGAGCCCTACCTTATACATCTGTTTCTTGTTAACACGTGCTTAAGCCAAAGTTTGTCTCTCGAGCATGATGTTTTACCGGCTAAGAAGAAGGGTGTCTTAATGTCCCCACCCGTGTAGTAGCTAGGTACCATTGCTCCCTTTCCCTCTTCGGCTGTCTAGATTTACCCATCCCTCTTATTTTGTGCATCCAGAACCCTCTTTTCTCATGTACTGATTGCTTATGTTCCCGATTCTGGGCTAAGTAATAGAGATAAAAAGAGGTGTGAAATACATGTGCTACCCTTAAGGGTCTTAGAAATCAGGTTATCTGTCCAGAAATTGGAGGCATGGAGGTGAGCAAATTCATGGCATATTCATTGTGCGTTTGAATTTTTCTGGAAGTCACGGATTGGACAATGGAAATGCTACTAACTGCTTTATATGCAGAACAGATGTGCTCCTGCATCCACACACAGGAGGTACCATAAATGTGTTTTGAATATTACCCTAAACGCCATTAGAAGATAGCCTACAGCATCAGGGTCAGGGTCCCCTTTAGAACTGACCCACCAAGGCCCTTAGGTGACAGTATGGTCCCCCAGTGGTGAATCAGGTCGGGACTTCCCCAGTGAACAAGGCCAGAACTTGAGATCCTCTCTGGAACCCCACCTCTTCATCCCTTTTGAAAAACTTACCCTATCCCCTCCATAAAGAATGCCATCCTGGGCCAGGTGATGCTGTGGTGGTTAAGGCAGCTGGGTCCCACATGGCTGACTGTGCAGCTCAAGTCAAGGACCCAGCAGTTTGAAAAACATGTTGGGTATATGTGCATATGTGCCCAAAATCCTGAAAGGAGGGAGAAATGGAGGAGAAGGAATTACAACATGGCCATCCACCATGGAGGATGGGCAGGGGAGGGCTAGTGAGTGCATGTTACTCTAGCCAATTGAAAAAGAAAAATGCCATCTTTCTGCTCACTCTGTCTCTTTTCCATAAGGAAAAGGAAACCATCCTCAATGGCTGGGAAGAATGAGACTGGCACACAAGTATATTCCTGTACATGGTGTTTATTGTTCTGTAACAGTTCACATTTTGTATAGTGCTTCCTGACAATGTACCAGCTGGCTCTTCACATTCACGGGGTTGGTTGGTATCACCATACCACACTTTTAGAGCAGGATGGGGAAGTTGTCTCAGGTCTGCAGGGGGTGGTGGCGATGGGTGGACTGTAAGGGAAGGAAAGGGAAGAGACAGGGAGGAATGGAAGACCCTTACATTTGCAGAAGTCTTTACTATTTCTAAGCAGTGGTCACACTGGCTTTGTGAGCAACCCCATGTAGGAACTGGGAAAAGAAAGGAATACTTCCTATCTAGGTTATCTGGGTGAGTGGTTGTCTGCCTGCAAGAAGGAAGTGTAGGGACACCTTCGACAAGAGACCAACACCTACATTGGTCAGATGACACTTCCTGTCCTTGGCCACCACTTAAGCCCTTCTGTACTGGCTGCAAAGGAAGAAGAAATCTAGCACTTGTAATGAATTTAGCAAAGAGAGATTCAAACTCATCAGAGTCCAAAGAATTTATGTTAAATTAGTTTGTAAATAGATGTTAGGCTTTTCTAGCTTCCTCTTATGTATTTCTAGGATTCATCCTGCATAAACACAGTCCTGGCCCAAAAAGCAATCCCACCAAAACATGTCTCCCATAAACAGCTTTGCATTTTACTCCTACCCAGAGAGGCTGGCTTCCCAGAAAGCCCCAACAGGGCAGAGAATCAGGGTATGCCTGGACAGCTCAGCCAGGCCACAGATCCACCACTCACTCTATTCAGTCCACTATTAATTAGTCTTAGAAATCTATACTACCCAAGCTAGATCCTAAACCCTTATGCCCAAGTAGACTCAGACCCTAGAAATGAACCTGGAATTATCCCCATACTCTGAAGTATCTTCTTAATTACTACCCCATAATCAAGCTGGACCCACACACGATTTCTATGGTGCTGACATCAAATTTGCTTTCAGGGTCTTAATGGAGAGGTGCCCAGACAACATGCCTGCCTGGATCTATTGCCACCAAGTTCCTGATAGGTCATAATGCCTATCGGTGGGCAACTAACATATCCCTTTAAATTTGGAATCCACAATTTTCTCAAGTCCCCTTACTAACACCAGAAAGATACAAGCCCAAGTAAAGAAAGAACCTGAGTTGTACTCTGGAGCGACCTATCAAAATGATTCAAGATGAAAGGCAAGTTCTTCACCAGCTAACATGAGATTTTTCTACTGTATAAACAATAACCCAATAGGAACAAAAAATATATACATAAGAAGGGGAGAGTAAGCCCTGGAGATAATTCTAAAGAATGTAGCCATTTACAAAAGTCGTATTTACATAAGAACTTTCTCAAGATGCAATGCTTCTAAGGCGCCACAGGGAAAG